TAGGGTGGTATAAACCCAGTTGCAACTGAGTAAAAAGATTTGCATCTACAAAATAAATTCAGGAGTTGCTCCAGAGGTTATGCCCCCACTGTGCTCAGAAGTTATTTTACATGAGGGTGACTTAAGTCATTAGGAACAGCTGTGTGAGGGTGGCTGGGCTCTGAGATGTTTTGGTGGTGTTTTGGACACCTCACCATACTGCTGCATTACCCATTGTGAACACCCATGACCTGTTTACCCATCAGTCCTGCTCTTGGGTCATGCATACCAGATGTCACCGTTCAAGCACTGGAGAGCTGCTGCATTCTGCTTATTGTATCTGCAAACACTGTAATAAGCCTGGCAAGTATACGGGGCATCATTTTCCAGCAAACCCTGTACTATATCCAGCCATTATACTTAACAGGTGACACCATACTAAGCTCTTAAATTTTCTTGTCCTCTGGGCAGAGGCAAAGATGAATTCCTGGTATCAAGAAAACACATATCCAGTACCATCTTGTTCACATAACAATGAGCTGGATGGCATTAACCAGTTCTTTCTCCTCCACAACAAAACAAGAGATGAAGGAGAGAAAACCCATGACTCTTAGTAGGGGACAGCCTAGGCAGCCAGGAGTGCCTTGCTTCAAAGGTGCTACCAGACAAAAGAGCTGCAAGAATCTGACCCTCAGCCCCACAACTAGTTGGACACTGTCCTGAGAGCCCTTAGGGTATGGCCATACTGCAGAGCAGCGTGGACTCTTCATTTAAGTGTCTCATATTGCCTGGGGAGATGTACAGCCAGTTTTTCCTTTTATTGCTCCTGCAGGACACTGCCACATGGAGCAGAAACCCATTCTGAGTTCTCAGTTTCCTGGGCAGGCTCCAAACAGTAGCAACCATCAGTGAAAATGCTGCCCTTCTTTCCTCTGGCTCCCTGAAGAGATTACATCCTCACCAGCCAGTATTTTACATCCACAGCAATTGATTTTGCATGATTGTCCCTCCTGCCTCCAAACTCCTACTCATCCACTGTGATGTGCCCAGCCCAGCCCAGAGCAAACTCAAAAAAAAAACCAAAACAAAACCAAAAAATCCAAACAAAAAAAACCCACCACACAATGTCCTGACAAAGAGCTGCTCAGCTCTTGTTGTATAGTTCTAGCACAAGGAGTGTGGTGCATTTTGATCATGCAGGGAATTAATTCAGAAAATTGGTTTGCTGTCAACTTTATCTTTGTAAGTGTGAGCAAACTGTTTTATTTTCCACTGACAATCTCATTTGGATGTTATTTTTTCAGTGAAATCCTAGCAAGGCTTTATTTATGTCACCATTAGGAAGGTTTTCTTTGTAGTTAGTGTATTTGCAAAACCGCTATTAACAATATTGCAAAAACATATGAAGTATAAACTGGGCAATACACTGCAAAGCACGAATTACAAAAAACAAATTTTCCTATCCCCTTGAATGCCTGAAGCTTATTGTAAAACTGCATGAATGGCACCGTGAAGCTCAAGCACGTTCACAGAAGGGATTTTAGATACAGAAAGTGCTGTTAAAGATTGTTACTTTTTAAGGCCTGTCTTGCCTGTTCCTTGGTTAGACGTGGTTAGGCACCTGTGCTCGTACAGATGGAGTTACCCTTCTGATCAACAGCAGCACCGGACATCCCACTCAATTGTTAGAGTTTTCACAAGCAGATCCATTCTTTGCTGTTGCACCAGGCTCCTTCCTCACCTCTGTTTTCTCCCATTTATTCTGATTCTGTTACTGACGAGACACTTGTTTCGTGACCTCTGGCCTCTTGACAGCCTCATGCAGACCCTGTGGTGTTAAATGAAATAAGGCACAGCGGCAATCCAGCAATCAAACCACTAATATGAACCTCCTCAAGCTTAGGTGGGCTTCATTAATATGTTTTTTGTTCTGGGCAGCTCGGGAGGGAACATAGAAGAGGGGAGGTATCACACCTGCTGTTTGCCAAGATTGGAGGAGCGCACTGGAGATGGTATACTGAAATTTGGTGTGAAAAAAACTGTCTCTTTGCAGCCATTGTAACAAAGCAATAGCCAGTTACATTTCTTGATTTACAGGATCTGCAAGTAGTGTCAAGATTTTCAAAGGTAGTAATATTAACAGCTGTTCAACATCTGGCAAACCTAGAAGTTAAGAGGCATGAAAAAAGAACTAAAATAACTCTGTTCTGAGGAGCTGTTTGTAAAGCCCAAAGATACTTTGGTGCCAAAAGTCATGGTAGTGGCAAGAGAAGAAATTAAATTAAATGAAAAGAGCAAGAGACCAAGAAGAAAGATAGTTGTGAGAACTTGGAAGAGAAGGGCTAGAGCAGGGGCTGGGTTTGTTTGAAGAGCTCATCAAGGAGGGACTCACAACTAGGGAGCAGGAGCAGGCTCAGTCAGTCCAAAAGGATGATGGAGATGGGGATATAACGGCAGTTTATGGAAATTAAAGCAGACACTGGTACTGGAGGCCAAGAACCTCCACAGCTTCTATTCATTAATTTCTTCATCCTCCAGCTGTGCTTCACTGCTTGCGCTGTAAGGACTAGTCATGATTTTCTTCCACTACAAGGGTGCCTTATCTTTTCCTACTGCCTAAGTCTTGCTATTAAAAATTCTTGGCTTTGTAAGAGTCCAGAAGCAATTGACAAGCCATGAATGCAGATAGCTTCAGATCTCCAGACTGAGTCTATCAAAAGTGTCATGGCTTTTTCTGCTGTGTAAGTGCATCACTTGAAAGTGATGGTCATCATTAGGCAGGAGCACTCTGCAGCATGGAAATGGTGGATCTATAAAATAATTTGACTCTTGATGGGGAATGCTTTTTGGCTGGATTTCACTAGGGGCCCTGCCAAGCAGCGTGAGGAAGAATCCCACAGTCTACAGATCTCTGAGCAGCACAGGAAGGGAGGGTACGTATAATACCAAGACATATTTGGAGGAAATCTCTGTCTTCTTGTGTGGAAGCAATGAAGTGAAAGCTTTGTTTAAGCACATCTGCTTCCTGTCATGTACCGCAGTAAACACATGGAAGACTTGGTCCATTTTGTAAATCAGCCATGTAGATAGATAAAACTTCTGCCTTTTGTTAGAAACGCTCCAGTGCAAACTGCTTTTTGACAGAACTGTTAGCTGAGTACTTCAGTCCCTGTTTTCTTGGAAAGAGAAAGATCTTTTCGGGAGCATTCTCTTCAAACTAATTTCTCCGTTTACTTGTTGTGTGTTGTTTGTTTCTATAGAAGCAGCTGCACACTGAATGGCTGGAGTTCATCCTTAACATCTCTCTGACACATCCTCCTGAAAAGCACCACGGTGCAGTGGATTAAAAACATTGTGTAACTCAATTCCTGCAGACACACATGGTGGGGCTAAGAGTGGCAACTTTTTCTCTTTGATTCTCTTGTGCTGCTAGAAATAAATAGTTTTAGTTGCTTCGTAGTCCTAAGGTGAAGTCTCCCATTAGCAACAGCTACTGATCTTAAATATGGTAATAGCAAGCACTTGAGTAGCACTTTCTGTCTTCAAGGTACTTTGCAGACGTTCTTTACTTCTGAATTAAGGATGAGTTTCTGTCCCTTTCAACACTTTTCCAACGAGATAAATGTTCAGTCTGCCATGGGAAAGAGGCAAAGTTAATGGCTCCAGATTCTCCACCGGACTAGGGCTATGTTCTGCTGTTTTGTTTTCCTGGTGTAAAGTGGCCCCAAAGGACATATGGCTGGTATCACCTCTGCTGGTGGAATTCTTCAGGTTGTGTAAAACCAGGTGCCTGTAGCACTTCTGCCTTCACACAGCTGGTGGAGAGCGTGAGCTCCTATCCACCCCACGTGCTTCAGCACTGCGCACCATGCATGATGGGCAGGGGTATTGAGCTGGCACACAGGTGAGCTCCTGGCTCTGGAGAAGGCTGAGGATGTGTGTGCGTTTCTGAGCAGCAGCTCAGCCCCTGTGTTGTGAGGAGCCATTATCAGACATCCTTCATCCAGCCTTGTAGACACAGCTCCATTTCAGTGAGCTTCTGTGCCCTGGGCCAGGGGGGAGAAGCACTTGTTGCAGAAGATGAAGCCATGCAGCCAGTGTTCATATCATGTTCCCTATCAGTACCCAGTACCTTGCAGGGGAACTGATAATCCAGCTGGCAGAGGCTGGGGCTCCCAAGTTGGGAACATCTCTGAATGACCACATCTGAAGGAAGAGCAGGCTCTGTCCTGTCACTGGGATCATTGACAAAACTCCCATTGACTCTGAGGAGAGTATGAGGAGGCCCAACAGTGCTAACTTCTGATGTCATCTCCCTGGCTTACTTTGTTTTCCAAAGACCCCTTTGTGCTTCTCTCCCTTGCTTTGTATTCTGAATATTCAGACCATTTCTATGCTCAGGGTCCCCATTTGTAGTTAGATTTTTGTGACCCTATTACGTACAGGTTGACTAGCAAGTCACACTGATCCTTCAATATAAGATTTAATAAAAGCCACGAGAGGAGAAGGGGGGAATTGAGGGTGTGGAGGGGGAGGAGGGCTGCTATTGTTCTGCCTTCAGCGCTGCCAAACCATCCCTTGTTTTTTCTGTGGACTGTCTGTGTGTTCAAACACTGTTTGAACAAACGGGGCACAGTCAGGAGGCTGGCAAGAGGGCAGCGAGAGGGTTAGCTGGGTCTTAGCTAGAAGTACTTGTGCGAGTCAGGAAGCAGGCATGAGAGGAAGAAAATTAAGCAGAGACATCTGTGTAGCTTAGCTTTCAGCAGCTCTGCCTGGGGTAGGGGTGGGAGAGTCATGCCTAAGATGACATAACATATTTTGTCTTTTATGAGTTCAAAACAGAGGAAACTGCGAAAGCGAAGCATGGTCTGTGTCACGCATGGTCCGGGTGTACCAAGTACATAATGGAGCAGTGTCAGTGCTTTCTGCTCTGCCTTTCACACCCCAAAATAACTCTTCAGGGCACAGAACTGAGAAGAATGTGATATGGTCCAAAAACTGATCTTGGACTTTTTTCGCAGACGACTGAGCCAGAGACCGACTGCTGAAGAATTGGAGCAGAGGAACATACTGAAACGTAAGTCCTGATACTGCTGACATTTAACCTGAAGCCAGCTAGTTTGGGTTCGTTTAGATGTGTGTTGGGTGCTTTTAAAACATCAGCTATTCTGTACATGTCATTAATAATAAAGTGCATCATAAAGGCAAATAAGCGTGCAAGTCTGCAGCAGCATCTAGAGCTGCAGAAACAATTCTTCAAAACCAGAGTCAGTAAATTCATAAGAATTAACAATCTATAGGGGAAAAAAAAAAACAGATGTTGAATATCTTTTGCAAGTCCTGTTCCAAACAGAGGTTCAGTCATTCTGAAAAGCCTTTCTGCAGCTCTCACACCGATGAGCATCCCCTTACAAGTTAGTAAAGACATTAGGGCATGGCTTGATTAGTTTTCCTAAAAATCTTCACAGCAATCTAGACTAGGTGGAGCCTTTATTCAATTAAAAAAAGAAACCAGTGTGACTTGGGATTATTTCCCTGGAATGTTCCCCTGAAACTTTCCCTTTAAATCAGACAAAAACTTGCTGGTAGGTCCTGAAAATGTGAAATGATACTTTAAAGGAACAAAATACCATTTAAAGACCCCGATCTGAGTTAATTAAGTTCGTAGGTACATTGCTACCAGCTTCAAGGGAAGCGGGACTGAGTCTAGCATAAATCTCGCAGTCTCATGAGTGAATAAGAAAACAACTGACTGTTTCTTTACTCGCATTGAAGTGGTTTGAATATTTATTACCAAAAAAAACCCCTGTTTATCTAGTTGTTGTTACTTTGGAAACAGAAAACAAAAGAAACAACCTCTTCCCTTTTTAAGTTAGTAAATGCATCATTCCAGGGAAATTTTAAAAAATTACTACAGAAAAAAGTATTCCTAAATGGTACCTTATACATAATTTCTCCTTAGGTAGGTCCATAATTTACCTTCTCTTGTTCAAGTAACTGCATTGTACAGAATCATAAAAATGTGGTAGCAGAAGATTAATTCTCTGAAAATTAAATTGATTGATTAAATACTTCAAAATCAAATTCCTAGCAAGTTAATGATAGTGTTAACACTCAGCAGGGTTTTTTCATCAGTTCGTGTTATTACACGTGGCAGACAAAGAGAAGGAGAGAGACACCACTGTCAATGCAAAGAGGAGAAAAGACGGGAGAGCAGAGTGGCGTGGGCAAGCCCGAGGCTGCCAGAAAAGCCATTTGTTTGGGACCATCCCCCTTTTCATAGCTGTGCTCCTACTGTCTACCCTTAACTCCCATGGGTGGCTGCTGGGGGAATTCAGGGGCAGAACCTGGGGAAATAGGTGGCACATCCAAATGTGATTGTCTCATGGGGGGAGGAGAACAGCTGGAGGAGGGGGAACGTGCAACGTGACTGATGCCAGGCTCAGGCGAGGAGGGACAGAGGCCAGTTCTCCAGGCAGCTCATGTTGTCATTCCAGGACTTACAGACAAACATGTGTCATGCACCACTTGGCACTGGTGCGTGACCAGTAGACACTGCCCTGGCACTGGTGAGGGTGGCTGGGGGGGGAGGTGGGGGTCTCGGGCAGCTGCTTTGGCAGCAGTGTCAACCAGCATCAGCAGAGAGGCAGCATCTCCAATGCTGGGTGCCTTGCAGAGTTTCCTAAAGGTCACGTTGCCAAGCGCAGCAGTCACATAGTGACCTGAAGATGTCTTGCATTTCAGAGGAGTTATCCCCTGAGTCACACTGGTTTCTTTTCATATTGAATAAAGGCTCTTAAATTACACGGATGCATTTGAAAATATTACCCTGAATCCAGAATTGCATTGTATTTCCTAAATGGAATTTTTGTAGCTTGGTTCCTAAAGCACAGATCTGCCCCGAAACATGTGTGTCTTGGTAGACAAACAATTTCACAATTACAGGAAAAAGTAATGTGGTCTTTTCAAGGCATCCCAACTTTTGGTGAAGCACAGCGGGAAAGGAACAAAAAATTAAAATTGTTACATAATTTTAAAAAAAGAAAGCATAAAAATGCTCCACCCTTAAACAAGTAAATATAAACAGTGTCTGGTTTGTACATCACTTTGTGTCCTTTCTGTAGACTTCTGAGAAGGAGAATTACAATAAATATAATGGAGCCTAGAGAAAAAGAGACATAGGAAGCAGTAATGAAGAGAGTGTAAATTCTCTGCAAAAGCCCAGTTCAGAGCACACACACACACCCCCCCCCCAAAAAAAAAAAAAAAAAAATCAAACCAAAACCCCAAGCAAGGTCCCAAGCAGACTAAATAGGATTTCCTCTGCAGTTAAAGCTGAAATCCCCTTGATGCAAATGTCATGTCTGGTACCATGATTGTTCCTGTTACATGTGTAAGTGCATTATTGCCCATTCTGATGGGAAGAAATGAGGCAAAATGTGGTTGGACAGCCAATCTTTATACATGTAGTGATCACTTCCTAGCTCCATGCGGCTGCAATAATTATGAGATGGTCATCTGTATTGAATTACAAGGGCAAAGCATCCATTGCACAAGTTCCACCACTTGCTAATAGCAAGGTTGCAGCAGCCACAGCAAAGAAACTGAGAACAGGGACACTAGTGCTTGAAGGGTCTGTCACTGAAGCATACCCAATTCATTGATGCTTATTTAAGTCAAAGGCACGTAATGAGAGGAGTCCAGACCTGCAGGGTTAGTGTGCAGACTGAAGGACGCTTTTTGCAGTTAATACTTGTTGGCCAAGTTTATGAGGAAGGATGCCTCAGTCCCTCTCACACAACCACCTCCATGCCACTTCTCAGATGGGTGCAGCTAGTTTAGTTGTCAACCTGGCACATTCAGGGTTGCATAAATTCCTCACAAAAGCAATGAGCCTCAGACTGTACTGGGGGACATTTCACACTGGCGTAGAATCACAGAATAGTAGGGGTTGGAAGGGACCTCTGGAGATCATCTAGTCCAAAAAAAAATCAGGCCTTAAAATTTCATCCAGACACATCCACTCACACACAGAGGTCTAGAGAAACAGAGCTTCTCCTGAACGCATAAGATAAAATAAAGCAACAGTTCTGTGGCTTCACAAGATGGGCATAACTTAATTAACTTTAAAGAAATAACTACAACAAAGTCACTTTCTGGTTTTGGAGAAGAATGTATTCCTAATTCCCAGCTTTTACCTGATGAGGCCTTCAGCCTGGCTGGCTGGCTCTGAAGGTGGGTGGCTGGGTTGAGAAGTGAGGAGAAAGGAAAGACTTTGTGTGCCAAGTACAAAAATGAATGGCCATAAATAAGTTTTATACATAACTCCTCATCTGGTTGCAGTTCTGTCCTGACTCTGTGTGGGCTCTGTTTAGCTCTGCATCTCTCTGGCTTCATCTTACAAGGATTTATGAGTGGCTCTGTTTCTGAAAGTAGGCATTTGCAGGACCAGCTCCTCCAAATTTGAGACACAAAGGGAAGAACGAAATTGCTAGAGGAGCAATTGCTAGAAGATAATCCAGCCCAGTAGGGACAGGAACCACCGAAAGAGGGGAAATATATTATCATTTAAAAAGCTGTTTGCGACTCCCTGCTGTCTTCTGTACTTTTTACTCTAATAATCAGTTTCCTTCCTCCTGAAAATGTAAGCAGTATTTTTGGTTAAAAGGCATTTAAACATCAGAAGTGTATTGTAAAACATCATAACATTGACTGGCTCTT